ATAGTGTATTATCAACAAGAGATTGCACAAATCCCCATTGCTTTAATGCTCGTGCTAAGGTATCAAACCAATTTCTTGAAGCTTGTTTCAGGCCATATATGGACTTGTTAAGACGACATATGCGTGCATCTCCTGGAGAAAGTAAACCTGGCGGTGGTAGCATGTAGACTTCTTCTTGCAATGCTCCATGTAGAAAAGCATTATTGACGTCCACTTGGTAAAGCTCCCAGTGAAGTGCCACAGAAAGGGACAACAGACATTGAACAATGACAATCTTTTCTACAAGAGCACATGTGTCAGTGTAATCCACGCCTTCAGTTTGCGTGTAGCCTTTTGATACTAGGCATGCTTTAAACCACTCAACACTACCATCTGCCTTGTGCTTGACTTTATAAACCCACTTGCAACCTATGGGCTTCTTTCTAGGCGGCAAATTAGTGAAGGTCCATGCATTAGTTCTTTCTAAAGTGGTTAGCTCATCAGCCATTGCTTGGCGCCAACAAGGAAATTGATGTGCTTAGGAAAATGACTTTGGTTCAGTGGGTGTTTGCATAAGGTTTATTTGGAAAGCTGAAGGTGAAGATGTAAGATAATTGAAAATGGAGTATCGTGCGTTGGTAGATGATAATGTTGGACATACAAAATCATTAAGATGGGATGGAGGACGACGAGAGCGAGTGGGTCGGCCCAAGGTAGGCGTAGACAAATTTGAGATTGTTACAGGGTCAATATGTGAATCAATCTCATGAGGTGGGTCAATATCAATAGTTGGACCATGGGTTGGTTGTGATCTCATGTCAGCATCATCACATGCTGGTAACGGGATCACAATATCTAAAGAGTAACCATTTTTAGATGAATGTCCAGCAAATGGAAATTGGTCTTAAAAAAATGACATCTCGTGATACAAATATCTGCTCAGTTTGTAAATCATAAAGGCGATACCCCTTTTGTCCTTGAGGGTACCGAATAAACACACATTTACGAGAGCGTGGCGCAAATTTGTCTCGGGCCACCTTGGAGGTATTAGCATAAGAGAGGCAACCAAATGCCTTCAAATGATTGTAAGAAGGAGGTTTGTGAAATAACAATTCATATGGAATCTTTCCATCAATCACTGGGGTAGGTAGATAATTAATCAAGTATGTTGCAGTTAGGATGCATTATCCCCAAAATTGTATGGGTAAGTGGGCCTGAAATCGGAGAGCCCGCGCCACCTCAAGAAGATGCCTATATTTATGTTTGACAACTCCGTTTTGTTGTGGAGTGTCAACGCAGGACTGCTAATGCAAAATACCATGTTCAACTAAATATTCTTTCATGGAACCAGAGAGAAACTCAAACCCATTATCTGAGCGAATATATTTTACTTTGGCTTGAAACTATGTATTGACAATTGCACAAAACATGGTAAAATAGAAGTACATATCTAACTTGTTATTGAGCAAGTAGACCCATGTGGCCCATGAGTAGTCATCCACTATAGTGAGAAAATAATGTGCTCCACTATGAGAAGGTGTACGATACCCTCCCAATAAATCATAGTGAATCGGTTCAAAAGGAGTTGCAACCCTTGTGTGACTAATGGGAAATGGCAATCTAGGTTGTTTTGCTTTCAAAAAAGTATCGCAACAATTATTCTTAGGCATCATGATATGAAAACTAGGGATATGAGATAAGCGGTCATAAGAGGCATGCCCCAATCGTGAATACCAAAGGGTGCAGGGAATTGTATGTTGAGTATAAAAAGCAGTAGAAGGGCTCAAAGCCTTGAAATGGTATAGTCCGTCATGCATCGTCCCTACCCCAATCAGTGTCTTGGAGGCAAGGTCCTGCAAGACACAAAAGGTGGGGAAAAATAAGGCCACACAGTTCAATTGTACAGTAAGTTTGCTTATGGAAAACAAATTGCAGTGAAAATCATGAACAAACAGGACATCACAGAGCACAAGATTAGTGGTCATCTTAACATCTCCTTGTGATTGAATTGATAGTAAAGAGCCATTTAGTAACTGCACGGGTTTATGGGTTGAAGTGGTATTAGAACCACTAGAGACGTGCTCAGCAGGTACCATGTGGTTTGTAGCGTCACTATCCAATATCCATTTAGACAGATTAAAAGACCAAGATGATGAATTTGTCTTACCAGCAAAGTTGGCTGAAACCAACGCTGTTGGTGGTCCAGAAAGAAGAATAAGTAGCTATTGATATTGGTTAGCAGTTAGCCATGTAACAGGAGAGGATTCCACAGTGTTGTTGGATGCTGAAGCAACATTAGATTGATTCCTTTCATTGCTGACCTTTGACACAGTACGTGGTTTCTTTTCCCAATTTTCTAGATAGCCTGCCAGCTCATAACAACAATCTTTGGTATGCCCGGTTTTCTTACAATGATTACATCTGAATTTTGGATGATCTTTTCCACTCTTGGAATTGAGTTTGGATGTGCCAATAACGTGAAGAGCTGCCTCCATCACTGGTGCCTTCTAGACAAATAAGAGCTGATGTTTCTCTTCTTGTGAAATTATGGAATATACTTTACCAATACTTGGTAGAGGATCCATTCCAAGGATGTTAGGTTTCACTGTATTAAACCGATCATTTGGCCCAAGGAGAAATTGATACACCCGTTCCTTGTCTCTTTCAACAAGGAATTCTCTGGCTGCACCACCGCATGAACATGAAGGCACATTTGTATAGATGGAGAGCTCATTCCAGAGTCCTTTCATCTTTGTAAAATAAGAAGAAACTGGGAGATTTTCTTGCCTTAGTAAGGTTAACTCATGCTTCAGGTGAAAAACCTGTGGAGCATTTCCTTGTGAGTATCTGTCTTCAAGATCCATCCAGATACAAGCACTTTCAAAATAGGCAATGCTTTGATGTAGATCTCTAGACAGGGCATTAAAGATCCAGGAAACCACCATTGAGTTGCACTTTCTTCAAGCAAGTAATTTTGAACTTATGGATTCATCAGGCTTCACAATTGTGCCATCGACAAATCCAACCTTATTCTTCACCCAGAGAGCATTTAACATGGCTCTTTTCCAGGTTGAATAGTTATCACCATTCAATGGATAGGACACGAGCACAGTTCCGGGATTATTAGATGGGTGCCGATAAAAAGGTGATGCCAGATTTGTGAGCATTTCATTGATGTTGCCGCTGCCGGTGTTAGCCAAATTGGTCACCATGATCACCAATCAAGAGAAGAAGCAGATTCGTGATTGAGGAAAGAAATAAAGAAACGACCACTGATCAAATCATATTGCAGAGAAAAAAACATAGAGATGATCACCGATCAAGAGAGGGAGTAACTACGTGATTGAGAAAAGAAACAAGAAACAATGATGTATTGCAAAGAAAGGAACCAAGAATGCACAAACGCAGTGCGAACCACACTCTGATACCATATAGAGTTGCAAGAAGCAACTAAGAAAAATAGATAAAAAGCACCTTTGTTTATTACAGAGTTCAGTATATATAGTTACATAATTACACGTGTTCTAACTAATGCTAACTAATGCAAGTTGTCACTTCAGTTGGACAGTTGGACTAACAGAATCCGTTCCAACAGATTTACATGTGCTGTTATACTTTATCTTCCATTTCTTTCCACTATTTCACCATCGATATGTAATCAATTGAGGTAGTAGTAGCCAAGGTTCAAAGTATCGGTCGATATGTATCGTTTTGGGACCCCTTCCATACGCCCCTATAGTGGGTGTATCAAGGGTCTGATCGGTTCAGAGGACGGAGGAGCCCTAAACCGGCCCCTGAACCAGTTTTAGAAAAAATAATAAAAAAAAAACAGTATCGATTCGTTCAATATGCCCATATCGGCGTATCAGGTGTATCAATATTTTGAACCTTGATAGTAGCCAAATACTAAAATCATTCTCTATTTTTATCAAATTTATTTGTTTCAATCGAATGTCAAATGTTCAAGCCAACACAAGGATTAATAGTCAAACCTATTACACTTCCTAATCTACCAACTAGTTCAATATCGAATCAATAGAAGCCCTTCTCATTCTCCCACCATTTTTTCTCCTAAAACCTTTCAATCACCTTAAAATTATCTCTCGGCATCTCGGTCCACTTCTATCTCTATCTCTCTACGAGGATTCCCTTCTCTATCTCTTGCATAGGCTTTTAAATCTATCGATGAACCTAGCCGTAGAAGAAAAGCAGAGGAGAAATGCTATCAAGGTTTAATGGCGTCATTGGGATGGAGGAACCAGGAGAGAAAAGGATGATGTTTCATGAACCAAGAACAATGTTGAAGGAGGTATAGACAATAAAGACAAGATGGGCTCTTTGTTAATGTTCAAGTCTATGCTTAAGGATGACTGGAACATGAATAGCAATGGAAACCCATCTCGCCGTGACTTTCAAACCATCCAAAACCATCACGAAATCAAAGGCATTGCTTTCTCAGTGTTATTATGGTTCAATCTTAAGGTAGAAGACAATGAACAATGTTTTATTTTCAAGGGTAGTTTTGACCTTTTGAAAAATTTTAAGTTGCACATGTCATCACGTTATAAGATAACTGACGAACTATTAATAGTAGGGACTAAATTGACACTTTTTGAAAGCTTGGGTACTACAGTGACATATTTGAAGGTTCGGGTACTAATTTGACACTATCCCCAAAGTTTAGGGCACTATTAAAGTGGAATTTACAACAATTCAAAATTATAATTCTGAATTCAACAGTAAGCCTACAACAATTCAAAATTATAAACACTACCTATAACATCCATACCCGCCTATAAATTGGAATCAATTCCGAGTTGACACCTACTCCTACTGTACGATGGAGCTAAGATTTTTGGGAGTGGACTGAATAATAAAAACCCCTATTTATTTACTTGCCCAACCTAGTCCCTCCCGGTTTGCATCCGCCCCCCACAGAGTTGCCCCCCAAATACATCCCACAAGTTGTGGGCACACCGTGTGTCCGCCTACACGCAGATTAAAGAGATTCATGCGAAGCTAATGGGACGGCCGTTAGCTCTGCCCCGTTAACTCCCTCTCGCCCAAAAGGGCATCATCCCCTAGGCTATTCTGTGTCCATATCCTCTTTCTCCAGACTCTAATCTCATAGCTGAAACCTTCACCTTCCGTAACCTGCCAGAGATTGCCCTCCTTCGAGTTCCGCCGGTCAACACCGACGACCGTTCCAACAGGAGGTAAGTATCCTCGACCTTCCATAAGTTTTTATCATTTTCTACCTTGTTTTTTTTTCTCATTTTCTACTGTTCTCAGATCTGAACTCGCTAGAGTGGGAGCCCCCTTCGAGTTTGTTTATTTTGACTTTGTTTTTCTTCATTATAATGAAACCAACTGATTTCTCCGCATAGATGGTTCCCTTGAAAAGCTTCTCACCTGCAATCTTTACAACTTTTTCCTTCTTTTTCACAATAATTTTAACTACTTCCATTGGCGATGCAGGACATGAACGCGAATCAGACATTACCAGTTTACCACCACCACCAGAGACTATGGTTCCTTTTTTTTCTCCTAAAAGGAACCACTAAAATCTTTTCAAGATCCCCAAAAGCTCATTTTGGGGTTTGGGCGACTTCTCCTTTTATCCTTTTCTTGTTGTTTGCTTCTCATGGCAACCATACCAAATACCACTACCAGTGCTGTTAGTGTTGTTATAGTTACACTAAATAAAATTCTTTCCTTCAAGAATCCAAACTGATGTGTCCACTTCCTCCTAGGCTCCCATGGAAAATGGGAAAAGATAACAACTTGTGGGTTAGAAACTTAGAGTTCAGAGAGAAAAAGAAAGAAAGAGATGAAAAGAAATAATTCCAAGTATGATCAAAACCAACCAATTTCAAGTTCTATCAATACACATTTCTGCAACTCAAAAACCAGAATGTCATCGCCAAGTATTTTCTATTTTTTTTTCTTTCCTATAATCAACATCAAATGAATAACTACATTCACTCTCCCCAGAAGAAAGAGAATTAAAAGAGTGAGAGAAAATAAAATTGAAAAAATGGAAATAAGAAATTTCTTTATGGGCTCTTAAAGGCATAGATCAACAAAGAAAACTCAACTCTCTCTTGGTCCTTCTGCAATGTCTTCTCCAATGAACATAACCGGCTGTCCAATCCACTTCTTGTCCTAAACATGAAAACAACATATCTAGAGTTTGGATTGTAGAACCAGTCATGAACATCCCACATCATATCAACTAGCAACCCATCAACAAAGATAGTCTGGTTCCCTCTAAAATTCCACTGCAACCTCTTCACTCGAATTACGTTCCTCTTATCGATATAGATTGATAGCACTGGATCCTTCAACCCTTCGTCTTCTCCACTGCATCTGATCAAAATGTCGTGGGCCGTCCCAATATCACAGAATTGCGCCTTGGTCGAATACAAAGGGTTCCCTGAGAAATGCTCTGTTTGGGAGACCAAGGAGAATTGGGCAACCGAGAAAGGCGGACACGTGATGCGCCCAAATACAAAGCATGGGATGTATTTGGGGGGCAACTCTGTGGGGGGCGGATGAGAATCCAATCCCTTCTCTCTCGTTCATTCCTCTCTCCCCCTTACCCTTCTTTCTCTCTTCCGCCGCCCCTCCTCCTCCCTCTCTCTTTCGATCACCACCACTACAAGTCTACAACCAGAGACCCAAACAGTAATGGAGGCCACCGAAGAAGAGAGCTTGCTGACTCCTGAAGATCGATTAGATCAACTACCCAAAACACAACCACTTCTTCCTCCATTTATATTAGCATTTGCATAAGTTGTACAATAACAGATACTCTGGCACTGGGCTGCGCATTCTTCAAGACTCATGCTTGTTGGGTTTCTTCCTGATTTTTGGTTTGAATTGCTACTTCTTTCATGATTGATTCAGAGTTTCTTTATTTTTATTTTTTTAAAGAGTTTAATTAATTAAGACATGGGGTCAACATCATTCAAACTTGGAAGAACAGAAGCTTGGAAAATTCCCATTTTTTTTATCTACGCTTTGTTCAAATGGATTTTGATGATCCTATGGCCTGATTGCTTTTACGTACTGCCAATGAATTTGCCCGGTTCTTCAGAATGAAAATCCCTTGCCTGTTCTGTATGAGGATCGATCATGTTCTTGCTACCAGAGGCCCCTATTTTTGTTACAACACTCCATCTGTGTGTGAAGCTCACAGGAAACATGTATCATCCCCTTGTGTATTGCCATGTATCATCCCCTCGTAAGTTTGGCCAACCATGTCTCTTTCTTTGCCGAGTATCAAAATATCAATATGCATTATAACACCATACCTACCTTATTACCTAGGATCTATTACAATTTAGTTAACGGAATCGTTGGATTTTATTTTGAATTGAACTGAAACCGTAAATCGAAACTGAACCAAAATCAATTAGTTAAACAATTGACCGATTCAGAATTATTAATATATAATATAAATTTATCAATTTTTTCAAGCATTCCTCTTCTAATTTTATCAAAAAGCTCTTGATGACTAGCAACTGTTCTTAATCATTAATCGTACTACTTCATTAACATAAGGGGTCTAACCCACTTGCAAATCCCTGCCGCAACCTCCTTGTTAAAAGGAGTAGAATTGGTAACCTGGGAAGTCTCTCCCCGGCGAGGAGGGCGAATGTTCTGGCGATGTGACAGATTCTGTTGATTTTGTTGCAGCGGAGGGAATTGTTGCTGATAAAACTGATGAAGTACTTGTTGTTAGTATAGTTGATACTACTGGCGATTTGGACCTAAATGCCCGAACACAGTGTACTAGGTCGTCGAGTTGGGACTGTCTGTTATGGGCCCGTGCATAGGATCTCGTCACGGGTCGGTCCACGGGGAGAAAGCCCTGTTTTCCCTTGCGTCTTCCCTTGCGTGCAGACCCTTTTGCGGAAACTGAATGGGTGATTTGTCCAAGAGACCACCCGAACTCTCCGAATGGGTGATTTGTCCAAGAGACCACCCGAACTCTCCGAATGGGTGATTTGTCCAAGAGACCACCCGAACTCTCCTCACTCTTCTTGACTAGAAAACTGAATGTCTTTATTTCAATTCGTAGCTCCTTAAATAGGAGATTACAGAAGGGAATTCCTTGTTGGATTCGGCTAGGTTAGGGTAATCCAACTCAAACTTAAACTCCTAATTACCTACTCCTAATGGAAACACAACTCTTACTTAAGAAGATAAGATAAGATAAGGATAAGGATAAGGGATGAGGAATAGTGTGGCTAGCGGTGAGTTGGTGAGCAGAGCTGATGTAGTAAGATAAGTGTGGATCCACCCTGATGAGCTGTCATGTGGGCCCTGCCCTACTGCTGCTACCGGGCGGTGCGCGCATCTCGCAGTGCTGCTGCCGTGAGGTGCGTGCTGCTGCCGTGTGGTGCGTGCTGCTGTCGTGCGGTGCATGCTGTTGCCTAGTGCTGCTGCCGTGCGGTGCGTGCTGCGCGCTGCCGGGCGGTGTGTCCATAACACTGTCCGGCTCTAGGGGGAACCACAGACGATTCAGCGAATGTCGCACCGACTACAGGAGAGAGTGGCGCGTTCACTTGCATGGTCGCTTGAGGCACGGTCAGCGTTGGAACCCCAGCCGCGGTAAGCGGGATGGTGAACTGAACGATGCAAACAAAAGGGAATTGAGGCTGCCCCCCAGAGACGTTCATGTCGTTGTTTCGTCCGGCGCTGCTAGAGGAAGCCATGGATTTGATTGTGTTTGTTGGTGGAGAAAGGCTTTTTTGTCGCGTTCCCACAGACGACGCCAAATGATGATGCCCGACTTAGCTGCTCCCTGTTGGAGGTGATCTGGCTTCCAGGCGAACGATGAATAGTTGATCTGCAAGAGGATCAGAGAACTCGGGGTTGCTAGCCCGACGAGGTCACTCCGATGCTTAAGTCAGTATACTGGTTGTGAGCTAAAGATAGCTTAAGAATTCAGAGAGCTAGAGAGCATATAAATCACACGTACCTGGAACCACCGGGGGTGGAGCCTTTATATAATGGAGTCCTCGCGGGTTTTACGGATCGGTTCCGGGATCATCATTACGATAGGATCCGTTTCCGAGTAAGTTGGAAGATAATGCTGCCAACTTATAAGGTTCATCAGTTCTGCCCTAATCGGGTGGGGAGACAATGCTAGCCGTTACACAGCGTGATCTCGTGAGACCCGGGATCTGTTGGAGGGGTTTTCATGATCACGTAGTGGCATGTCGGTATCCCCGAACTGACGTCTTTAAGTCCCGAACTGGGTTGAATGCCGAAGTGCCTTGGCATCGAGCTGCTCTTGTTGCGATCTGGTACCGAGTCGAGTTCGTCCCGGGGTCATTTTAGCTCGAGGTAGTAGGGTACCTGAGCCCGATCTGCTGCGGACTGGTTACATTAAGATGAGCAGTCATTTCTTGGTCAGGTTGTGTCCACGTGTCCCCTCTTTACTAGGTCAGGCCAAATCACCCTTCATCAAATTATATAACAAAATATTTAATATTATGTAATAACATTAAAATAAATAAAATTTAAATAATGAAAATTTTTAAATATTTTACATATTATTTAAATATTTAAATAACGAAATATTTAACATGACTAAATTTTAAATAGTTAAAATAATAAAATTATGTAATAAATTAAAAAATTTTAAAAGTAGAATAATTATAATAGATTTCATAATATTCATATTAATAATAAATTAACATTTTACAAAATTAATAACGAATTATGTAATAATAGTATTAATTATAATTTTATGGATTATTAAATTCAATAAATAAAGAATATTTTAAAAATTTCAATAAAAATAAATAAATAATATTGTAAATAACTGTTTTCCCTTACATCAATTAATAATTATAGAAAATAACTTTCAAAAAAATAACATTCATTATAGTAGTAATTTTACAATAATAGTGTATATTCATTATATTTATATATATACTAAAATAATATTTATTTTATTTTTTGATAAATATGTTTTCAATAATTATTTATGAATCTATTTTTGTTTTGTTATTTAATAGTAAATTGTCAATAATTATTGGAGATTAAACAACTATTGTTTAACTTTTGAAATTTAATTTGTTGTATTTTTGTTATAAAGTTATTTTTAGTAATTATATTTTTTTTTATATTTTATTGATTAATATTTATTAGAGATTAAACTATTATTTGAGATTATACTATTTATTTACTTTTGTAATTATTGTATTTTTATTAGATATCTATTGTATTTTCATTCTAAATTTATTTTCAATAATTGTATAGTTTTGCTATAAATTTTCAATAGTTATTGAAGATTAAACTATTGTTATTTATTAAAGATTAGATTATTAATTTAGTTGAAATTAGGAGTGCTCAAAGATTGGTTTAGTTCGGTTACAAGTTGTTTCCCCAACCAAATCGACCTGGTTAGGTTGGGAGTTTGTCACCTGAAACTGATTGACCATTAGTGAAAACCTGCCAACTTGGGTTGTATCAGTTTGGGTCTATTTTCGGTCTGGTTTGTTTGTTTAAAAGATTTAAACTTAAAAATTAAATTTAAATTTAATAAATTATAGTGGTATTATTAAAAAATTAAATTTATGATATAAAATATTTTAGACTAAGAAATATGGGAATTTTCCCACTTTTCTATATTAAAAAATTATATTTAAAATATTAAATTATAATATATATCTATGATCGACTCAGTTTAGTTTTGGTTGATTTGCAAATGGCCAAATTGAAGCTGACCTAACTTGGTCGAGTTGGAAAATTGCTAAACCAAAGCCAGACGAAAATACTAGAAAATCGACCAACTCGAGTTGAGTTCGACCGGATTAGTTATTAAAAAGTTAAAATATAAAACAATTATATACTCCTATGTATTTCTATTGTTTAACTTTTGCCTTTAGCAAAGCCCGTGCATCGCATGAGTCCCTACTAGTGTGTGTGTGTGTGTCTATATATATATTAAAGGAAGTTCTTCAAGCAACAACTCCCACCCTTCTGACACGTGGCATTGTTAAACTCTAATCCCTAAAAAGTGGCCACTTCAAATGTTAGGGTAGTAACTGAATTTTATTCAAACACAACCATTTCAAAAGTAATGATTAAACAAATAATTTAACTTAAAAATATTCAAAATATTAAATGGATAAAAATAAAAATAAATGAAATTCATAAAAATGACTAAACAATTAATACAAATGGTGTGATTCATTCTTTTAGATTTAACGTTTTTTGGAAGCATAACCTAATTTAGCTTTTAAAAATAAATTTATCAAATAAATAGCAAATACCAATTAAAGTGGGTTATTGCTTACAAATAAGTCCTCATTTAATCTCTTAAATCATATTAAAAACAACATAAATTAGTAGTGATTTTCAAACAAAATAGATCAGAATAGATTGTCAATTACAAAGATATAAGACCAATAATGTTAATTTTTCTAATTTAATTTTTTATAGTTAAATAATAAATCTCAAATTAAATGATACTATAATTGCCACTTAGTATGGGGTCATTTTCTAGATAAAACATGATAAGTTTCTTAAAACAAATAAAAAGCCTAATCTAAATGTCTAATATAAATAATTTAAAAAAGTGAAATAATTCAAATTAATGATTCCCATACTTAGTATGGGTCATTCCTCATAACTAATGATAGGTAACCCTAACAGGGCTAACATGGCTAACCCCAAAAATCCAATATGACGTTTATCTTAATAAAAGTGAATAAAGAAATTACAAAAGTTCAAAATTATCTTGGGTACCTTGAACTTCTCCCCTTGCATACCTTATACCATCAATCCACCTGGGTTAATGCAAGCTTGTGGACAAGGAACCTCGATTACCTCTCCATGCAACGCCACAAATCTTTAAATGTTTCTTATTTTTATTTAGTTTTTTATAAACAGCATAAATTATTGGCTTGAAGATATTTTATTAGTTGTTGTATCATGTATGGCTGGAAGCCACTGGTGTACTTTGTTCAATGTCAAAAATTCTGAAATGCGTGGATCATATAACCATTAATTTCTCTACCTGAGGGAAAGCTGTAACACTGTAACGTGTATTATATATGTTAATCTAATTGATTTAATTACTCAATCAATTGGACCACTGAACTGGCTTAAAACACAACCTACGAAAATAGTGCTTCGGTTATTAATAGTTTAATTACCATACTTGCAATAAGCCAACAATGTCAAAAGGAGCAAGACTGATCTAGAAATATTCTATGGACGATCAAGTCAAATTTGAGAAGATCTCCCCCTCTTAAGGTTGGGAAGATCCACTCTTCCCTCCTCCCCACGAGCCACGAGGTCTTAGGGCCAATTGATAACAGCTCAAAATGCTAAATCGAAAAGCTTATCATTTTATTTTTTATCTATTAGATTTAGTGGCATTTGATAAATCTAAAATCTGAAATATGAAAAGTTAAAAACATATTAAAAGTGTCTAAAATCTAAAAAGAGATACATATGCTTTTCAATTTTTTAAAAGCTCTGAATAGAGAAGGTTGTTTGTGTTGGATCAAACCTTTAGCATATGAAATTCCTTAATTTTGCAATTTTACCCCTAGAAAAGACTATTTGGTAATTTAGAGTTCAATTTGTACTATTTCATAAAATAATAATTTATTAAATTTAAAATAATATTGAAAAAGTAGGAATAAATTATGATAAATTATAAAAATATTAAAATAAGAATAAACTTGAAAAAATATATAAATTTATAAATTAAAAATAAATTATTACCAATTAAAATAATAATAAAGTCCATGAAGCAATGAATTATTAAAATATTTAATAATTAATAAAAAAATCAAATAATTAATACTAATAAATTATTAAGAATAAAATTCAAATGCCGCTACCGAGAGTTGCAACAGTAGTGGTGGGAAGACAGGAGAGAGAGAGAGAGAGAGGGTAATCGAACGCCGCTGTTGAGAGTTACAACGGCGATGGCGGGAAGACAGGGGAGAGAGAGAGAGAGAGAGAGAGATCAAACACCACTGGTTCGCCGTCAATGAAGAAGAAGAAGAAGAAGAAGAAGAAGAAGAAGAAGAAGAAGAAGAGAAGGGGGGAGAGAAAGAAAAGGGCAAAGGGAGAAACTTGCGGTGGAAATCGAAGAAGAAGAGAGGGAGAAAGAGGGGCATAACGAGAATAGACATTTTTTGTCTTTTAATGTGGTTTGAAAAACATTTGAACGCATTAAGTCACTGGCCTGCCTCTTACAAATTTAGATATGAGAATGCACTTTAGATCTTTTTTCAGACTCAACCCAAACATAAGTGGCATTTGAAAATCACATTTTTAGACTTCAGAGGTCTGCAAAGTGTTATCAAATGCCACCTTATAGTTTGAATCAGAATGAGAATATTTCGAAATCAGAATCTCTTGAAATTAGAATAATGATGGGGGAATGCCATTCCACCTAGGGCTGTAATTGGATTGGGCTCAGATCGGATTCAGCAAAATCCAAATTCGATATGACTACTGAAATCCTGCACCCAAACTCCAATCGGATTTGAAGACATCAAATTCGAATTTGAATCCTAATGGATTTGGATTGGATTCAGAATTAATCTGATTCTGTTTTAATTTGTCAAAATAGCAAAAAAAAAATTTAATTATTTTCAATTTGTATATGAAATAAATTAATGTAAATATAACATACTGAAATTATTATATATTAAATTCATATTTATTATATATAAATTCATATAGAATATAATATTAGAATATATATTTTATAATTTTAAATATAATTATATAAATTTTATATATTAAAATCAATAAAATTTATAATATAATCATATTCAAATTTTAATCGGATTAGATGGAGTCAAACCTGAAACCAATCTGATTATGTAAATGCATAATCTGAATTTGAGATAATCAAATTGGGATTTAAGTTTTCAAATATCATTGACAGGCCTAATTCCACCAAGAATGAAAATTCCAGAATTATAATTGATTAAATGTCAATTTTCTATTTGATTGACGCTGTCTTGAGTTAAAAACAGACATAAAAATGTCTCTACTAAAATCATACATGAGTGGGGTGTTGGAGAACATTTCATCCATCAGTTGTCCATTTGGTTCACGAATACACCATCGGATACTCAAACCCTACCTTCTTTTGATTCTACACTCCATTAGATCTGCATATATTAATCCATCTGTATTTCTGTAATAATAAGTATGCTCATTAGAAAATATTTATTTTTAAAATTGACCATTGAACGAAAATCAATATAATAGGGCAGTATCACATTCAATAGCAAGAAATCAAAAACAACGGCCACACATGAACAAAATTACACCATTTTTACTGATGTAGCAATTGTATTTGTTTTCAAAAGCAAGAAAGTAATCATGTTATCAAACACTCCTTAAATGTTTGAAGCTGAAATGACAATGATACCAAACAAAATCAATTTTCAGTTTTTTTACCTAATGACATATAAAGCAAAAAATAAGTTTTATTTTAATTATGTTTGTTAACATTGTAACTTCACAATTCCTTAACTTGTTTTAATTTAATTTTCATTTTCTTTTTTCGGGTTGCATGTCTGACTGCAACTACCGCCTACAATGTCAAAGCTTCTACACTTGTACTACAGTCTTAGCCTAAGATATCCATACTGTGCCATAAATGCAACGCGTATGAGTGGGGGGTATTCTTGTTTATAGAGTCTTGTGTTTCGACTTTTGAGTTCTGGCACTCCCAATCTCCCAAGTCCTACCCCCTTACCCTGTAACCCTGTTTTTATCTAAATCTGACCCGTATATGACATGACGACCCGACTCATGAACAACCCAGCAGTAGTAGATGGTAGAACCAACGGTGCAGTGACCACTGGCCAGAACACTTCTCAATAATGTCTCTAATGGTGGGTTTTCCGAGGAACAATTAAGTTAGATTAATCAACCATAAATGGATGGTGGATGAAACTCTTTTGACTTTTTGGTGTTTTGATCCCTGAATTCCACCGTTTTGAATCCACCCCATAATCGATGTCCAACGTGTCTGTCTCTCTCTACTCGACTGTGTCGTCACCGCTCGTTTCTCCATGAATATTTATAGCATTTGTATCTCGTCTCTCTGAGCACCGATCGGTTTCTTTCTTTCTTTAATTTATATCTTTCATCAGTCCACTCGCCATTCATTGCTTACTACACCTCTACTCCCTGCCTAACCCTCCCCTTCTCACTCAAATGCATCTCCCACCGCCAGACTTGCCGGTTTAATCTCATTCTCAGCTCAAAAACTAGAACTACTCCTGCTTCCTTCGATCCAAACTTCCCGGCTGGCAATGGAAACATCAAAGGTCTTTGTGACCCTCCTTTTAGTTCTCGCACTAGCTTCTCTGTCTGCTGCTAGACCTCTTATCACTGCCACCAAGCCTACCATCTCGTCGGAATCTGACCCACAAGCCCTTATTTCATCATCACTGGTAAGTCTCTCTCAATCTCCCTCTCATGTTCAACTGTTGGTATGCAAAACTAGCTTTTCATATCCTTTTGTTCTAATTCCTTTGATGTGGGCAGGAGGAACCAAGCGTCATCAGGAATGTTGAATGCGAAAGTTTGGAGGACAAGGAGTACTGTCTGAGAAGGATGATGATGGTTGCTCATACAGACTATATCTACACTCAAGATATAAAGGGTCCTTGATTTTCTTCATTTACCTTTATTTTTTTTTTCTCCTTCTCTCTTGTAAATTGCATCTTTTATGTTGATGTAATTTTGGAGACATGAAAATTTCTTTTTGAGACGCCTGAGATTCTCTGTTAGTCCCTGCATCTCTTTAGGAATGGACTTGCCGGGTTAACCATTTGATTTGAGTTGTCAAGATTTGGACTAGAATGCAAGGAAATTCATGGTTTCCTATGAGTTTCTGGTGGATTTACTCAAGCTTTTCTGAAATCAGCTTCCGTTTCCCATATTGTATAAATGAGGCAAATGGGTATCTCAAAAATCTCAACTGCACCAGATAACTCCCCTCAACAACTCTCCTCCCCCAATTACCACTATCATCCTCCCCCCGGCCAAAATAAGGATGATGAGGAGGCAAGCTTTGCACCAACCACCAAGTGGACTGTGCGGTTGAATCCCGGGCCGAGGTGGTGATAAGGAAGTTGGGGAATTAATGGTGACCGGTCAGCCCATTGTCGTATTATATTCACAACAGCCACCCAAGCGGTGGAGATTGGAGTAGATGGATTGTCTCCTTACGCTCATAAGCAGTCAGGCCCTTAAAAATGGCATTAATTTGACCTAAGTTTTGTAGGATTTTGATTTTCTTAATTTAATTTGAGCTGAATAAAAATCGAAATCATCGGATTAATTCCATGCTAAAAGAGAATTAGACCACAATTAATAACTAAAAGGATTATGTAAATGTATAAAAATATCGATTTTATGAATGTATTGATGGAGGGTGATTTGGTATGACCATGCACGTGGATGTGATCTGTACGAAGGATGACAACTCAGCGAAAAGAGCCCAGTCAGCAATAGTTAGAGTTCGGGTGTTTGGTCACTTTGGCACAAAACTATTTCAACGTAAAGGTATCTCGGCACTTAATCTAGTTCGGGTTCAAGACCTAGAGTGACACATCATCAATTCCAATTCCAGAAGATGCCTAATGAACTCCGAACCTCACAGGATCACAACACATAACGGAAGGCCTTATCTTCTCCCTGCCCGGATCGGGCGGAGATGATAGACCTCCTTAACTAGTATGCTACTCTTTGACTAAAGCGGAAACGGACATCATCTACTCAGGCCGAAGATTCCCATGATCCATGGCAACTTAGTTATATAAGGGCTGCAATCCCTCCAAAGCCCAGGTATGCACGATTATTTACGTTCAAGTTCTTTAGCATCCAATACTCTAGCTCGCAATCACAGCACATTATTAACTTAAGCATCAGAGCGACTTCACCGGGTCTTCCACCTCGGATTCTTTGATCTATTTTCTTGCAGTTCGAACCAGTTCACTACGCAACTAGCTTTTAAGTCATCTTCTGGCTAGGAGCAGCCAGATCGCACATCATCAATAATATTCCTTAAAAACTTTAAAAATATGAAAATGACTAAAAGTATAAACTTCTCCTTTTCATTCGTGGGAATAGGAGTTTGAAATTGGAACCAGAATTCAATCAATTCCCATTTACTTCTCAATAGTGTGGAATTTTCCCATTTGAGAGAATGGCCATTTTCTTTCCATTTATTGAGATGAGAATTCATTTAACCTGATTTTAATTTCAATTCCGGTGGTTCTTGTCTGAACCAAACATCCAGTAGGAATAGACTATTTTGATTCGATCTGATGGGAAAGTAATCTTAAATAGCCTGATACTTAATTTAATTATATTTGTAAAAATTCAAAAAAAAACTACAAAATTCTAAATGGGTTGAGAAGCAATATGACAAATCTAACAAACATTTCAGAAATAGTAATAGAAGGGACTGTTGCAATGCACAAACTGAAGTTAAAAGGATGCGCATGTTACCACATTCGATCAGTTTATAACAATTGGTTCTGAGCGAGTTTAAATAGCCTTGCTGTTTTTTTTTTTTGTTTTTAAAAATAAAAAACACTGAAATTTAAAGGGGTTGGGAAGCAACATTAGGAATCTGACATGGACAACTGCACTTGAGAATATAGAATAGATAGATAAAAGAAATATAATAAACGAATTCAACTATAATGTCAGAAAGACATGATACTAAGAAAAGTTTTCCCAATCATCCAGTATCATAAGAGTGGTAATAAATTAGGTGGATTTTCAGCAAAATTCATTGGGGGGGGGGTTGATTGGTCATTACCTTTCCAATATCATGTCTTTCTTGCATTATAGATTTTTCCATAATAAAATATTATATATTAATTAATTTTTAAAAAATTTCATTTCCCTCGACAAAAAAGAAAATTAATGCAAAATTATTACATAATTAAAACTCTTGGGCCACTTTAATTCCTCCAATATGAAGCTCCATAGTTCATACCAAGTTGGATATAATTCATTTCTATACAATGATGCATTTTTCAACTTAAAGATCTACATAGAAGCATTTTCTTAAGAGGGCTGTGCTTGGTTGCAATGCAAAAACAAATATGTACTCTGCATAAATATTCTCTTTCTAGTTCAAGAATGCAAAATGGATTTATAATGTAAACTGTTTTTTGCATTCTTCTTGTTTGTTTGAAATCGGTGAAAAGCATGGGCCCCATCATTAAATGCCTTAAACTTTTGGTCAAATGCACAAATTATCAACGAGTACAAAAAAATGTATCCAAAAAATGGGTACAGTAATGTCCTCTCCTCAAGATACAAAAATGTCATAAAGCACATTTTTTGCCTCTTCATTGCATTTTTTCATGTCAAATAAACACTCACAAATCCGATCTGTGGTACATAAATACCCCAATTAGGCGTTTGTATCACAAACAAGCGCAGCCGAGAGAACAAATTTTGCAACTCTTGGAGTTTGTTTTTTTCCCTATAATATGCGCTTGCAAATATAATCCAACCATTTGTTTGGTCGGAATCGGATCCAATTCTCATTCTAGTTTGCAAAGAAGAAAAGAACTCATAAGAAAAAAAACCCCTAAACCCTAAATTAAATAATAAAATATTAGTAAAATAGTAATAAAATAGTACTATTATAATAAAATATTAATAAAGTAATATTAACAAACAAATATATTAATTATTAAGTAACAATAAATTATTAATAGACTAGTAATAAAATATTATAAAAATAATAACAAATTCATAATATTAATAAAATATTCATAATTTAATAATAGATATAAAGATATTAATTATTAAATACTGATAACATAATAATAATAATAATAAACTTGTAATAAAATTCATAATAAAGTGCTAATAAAATAATAATTGAATATTCATAAAATATTAATAAATACTAATAAAACAATAATAATAAAATATTTATAAACTAATACAAAATTAAAAGTTTTTTTTTGTTAATTCTAATTATGACTTCAAAGGAACCGAACAACAACGATTGGAATATAATCTAACTACGATTCTCATATGAACCAAACAACCGTTTGGCTGGGTGGAATCATAATGATTCCGGTTTCTAGTGGAATGGTATTTCCTCATGTGAGGGATTGAGATCCCATTCCAGTTGATTTTAATTCCAATTCTAATTCCTATAATAATCAGACAAGCTATGGGAATGGACCATTCTGATTCCAATTGCTAACAAAATGGACCCTTAATTTATTAAATGCTCTTTGAGGTTTTCTAGAAGATCCCTTAGGGCAACTTCATTCATCAAAAGAACTTGGTTTACATCTCTTGTACAACAATAAAGAAAAGGAAATTTGGAATTTTTGATCAAGTTTTTACTCTTGTACAAGAAGTAGAATGTTTGGCTACTTTGTGTGCAGCCATGTTTGTTTTTCTAGAAATATGGCAAACTGAAGAATTTGAAAAGCAACTCAGTAGATATTTGCACTCAGCGACCAAAGTGCTAATAGACCACGGTGGCTCTGGCAATCCACCAACAAACAATGATCAAAGGGCTTTCTTTCTGACGAGGAACCACTCTAGCAAAGAGGAATTCATCAGCACTGCTTCGAAGTACCATGCCACCACCAGACATGTTTATTCCAACAACGCCACCCACATTGAGTTTTACCACTCCCCATGGTGGTTTTGACTTTTGACCACCTAACTGTGCTTAGATCTAAAGAGAAAGGTAGAGTGTTGTGGGCCATGGCATCAGAGATAGAAGTTTGGATGATTGTTTCTGCAAGAATCTGGGCCCAGTTGATGATGATGGAGGGAGGATGGAAATTTGAGCCCTTGAAGACTAGATCATTTTGAGCTGTCCATATGAACCTTATCTTAATAAAAGGTGGTTTTCATTATTTTGTTGCTTGTCCAATTCCAGCCAGAGATCGATCCAATTAATAAGGTGGTTATCATCACTCTTCGTGTTTGAAAGTTTGCTGGATCCAAACGAGATGCAACGAACCAGCTGAACCAAAAAAAAAAAAAAAAAGAAGTTTCATTGATTCTCCTTCTGAACTGCAAAATGGGGCACAACTTTTCTGGTATGCGATCAAATCTGAAAAGGTTATCTTTGACGGACAGGAGATTGTATGGGTTGAGGATGACATTTTAAAATGATGGAAATGAACTATTATCTCATTACTTTGAATAAGAAAAAAACAAGATACGTAAATAAAAAGGTTTATACAGATATGTAAAATTAAGGGCAAAATGATCCCAACGGAGGGTAATTTGGAGATTCAGAAATGTTAAATAAATACAAAACAAATACATAAGAATATTTTTAAAAAATAATTAACGGAATGTTAACGGAGGGGGCAAAGTGTTAGAATCTGAGTTCATGGGAATCTTTGTGTTAAATATGGAAATAGGATTAAACTAACTGAATGCAATAGCTGTTTAGTGGTTCCATGCAGACCTGTTCATGGGCCGGGTTGCCTGGCTCAGCCCGTCTAAGCTTGGACAAACTTTTAAACCGGCGGGCTTGAGATTGGGCTTAATTGGGCTTGGTCTTTTTCAAATAAGCCTGGCTCAGGAGTCAAGCCCGCCCAGCTTGATAATAATAGGAAATATAATATATTATATAATATTATGTAATAATAATATTAGTAGAAAAATGTATTATATAATAAAATATAATGTATATAGAATATTATATAATATGAAAATGTTATTAATATATTGTAAAATATCTGTCTAGGTCGAACTTTGGGCCTTATATAGGGCCAGGCACGAGTTTAGTCAATTTCTGTTTATAAAGAAGCAAAGCATGGCCGAGCCCAGCCTGTTAATAGGTCTAGTTCCGTGGCCCCTAAGCCATGGTTTTCAAAATCAGATTGGACCAGATGGTTAGACCAAAAAATTCAGGAATCAATTCTGTTTCACCTTAAAACCATTTTTTGGCCAAAAATCATTAGTTTGGTCAATAACCCGCTAACTTGGGTGATCAAACCATCGACCTGGACAGTGGATTTTGACCATATTTTATTATTTATTTTTTAAGTCAAAATTAGCCATTTGAAGCAAACGGTTGGACCATTTGACTCAAGAACCGCCCGCCAAAACAGTTCTCTATCCAGTCTGGTTTTAAAATCCTTGCCTTAAACAGTAAAATTAGGGGTCGGTCGCAATGAAGAAAGAAAAGCTTGAAGAAAATTCACAGATATTTTTAGCCGTCTACGTTTATAGACGGTATGCAATCTCGATAAAAATACCGCCAAACTCTCTCTCTCTCTCTCTCTTATCCACCATATATCTCTTTAACATACTTGCATGCTAGTTCAATAATGAAATAGATATTTGCAGGCGCAACAGAACCCACTACTCCAACTGAACTTCACTAATCATGGCAACTTGTTCTCTAACTCCTATCTCTGCAATCTCTCTCTCCAAATCAACGTTGCATAATTCAACTAAAAGGTCTTCTTCATCTGCTTTGAGCACAAGTGCGATGGCTAAAGAGCTCTACTTCAACCATGATGGTTCGACCATGAAGAAGCTTCAGGTCACAATTTCAGTTGGGCTTTTCATTTTAGTTGTTTATTCACTCGTGTCGTGTTTTTTCATGAATTTCATGCATTTCGTGATGCAGGCGGGGGTTGACACGGTAGCAGAGCTGGTTGGGGTGACTTTGGGTCCCAAGGGTAGGAATGTGGTGCTGGAGAACAAGTATGGACCTCCAAAGATTGTTAACGATGGTGTTTCCGTCCTTAAGGAGGTAAACCGCGGATGCTTTTCAGTTTTTCTCTTTCTCTTAATTTCTGTTCTTTCATTCTTTTATGATTTGGTGTCCTTACTTGGTACTGATGTTGGATTATGCTGCTTAAATCATGGTGCTCCTTGGAGAGCACTGTTTTCTTTGTGTTGTTCTTCGTACTTGGGCCAATTGTTAGTTCTTATGCGTTCCTCTATTCTTCTTTCTGAAGATGTGGCTCTGAATCACGGTTATGAAGGGTGAGCCCTTGAAAAATATAAGTTAAAAACGGATAGAGAAAGAAACTCTGTTTTTCCTATTTCGTCTTATGTTTTAGTATCTATTTGGGTCTATGCTGCATGAAATAGAATTGAAATTTGAGAAGCATTGATTCAAATTACAGTGTTCTTTTTCTGAATTAGCAAAATGGTGGTTATTATTATTGTTCACATTGATCGGGCTGCTGATGTGTATGGCTTCCTACCGATTATGGAATAGTTTTTTCAGATTTAATTTGGCTTGGTGAAGCCGAAATGGAGGGCAGTGTTTTTTCTCTTCTCTTCTCTGATTATGAGGGTTCTAATTTTTCATTTAATTTGTTCCAACTTGAAAAGACCCTCAAAGTCAATGATCAGTTACTATAATGTCCAAGAGGTATTTCTTGTACAGGTTTTATTTTGAGTTTATGAAGGTTGAATTGACTGAACAAATTAATAATAACGAGTGGAAGTATTTCTGTTTTCTCACTGTATTTTCCTTAGAGAAGTATAACCCTTTTGGACCTTCTAGTTTTGGCCCTAGTTGGGTAAATTGTGCAACTCTTGTACTTCGTGCTGTTTACTTACACTCATGGGGGAAAGAAAAAGGGAGAAACAAACAAAAGAGAGAGTTAACTATCACTTCTTGCTTTTTCTATATAACATTCTATTTCTCTTCCACTTTAATTTGCTTTTATTTGTATTTGTTTAAGATTCAATTGGAGGACCAACTGGAAAATGTTGGTGCAAAATTGGTGAGACAAGCTGGTGCAAAAACTAATGATCTTGCTGGTGATGGATCCACCACTTCTGTTGTTCTTGCTCAGGGTCTTATCACTGAGGGTATGAAGGTATAAATTAAATCCTGTACTTTTAATAGTGTTTTTCTTTTTCTGTAGCAGAAAAAGGAAGGAGAAAGGAGGAAGTGTTCCCTTATTCTTTCCTTCAGTGTTTTGAAGTAGTGAAGAGCCACAGTTATTTTGCAATTCTGCATACTATCATGGTTGCATTTGTTTTTTATTATTTTTTTGATAGGTCTGGTTGCATTTGTTATTAAATTGGAAATGTACCTTTAGGATGACATTCTTTTTGAAGTCCATGAAACACTTTTAACCTTTGCAATATTTTGTTTTTGTGGTTTCCTTGGGTTCAAGGTATCAACATGGGCTCGTTGACAATGAGCCTAGATAGAAAGACTTGCACTTAAGAGTATTGCTTCTTGGCAGAAGAATTACTTGCTAATAAATAACACCTAAAAAGTTCAAGCTCATTTGTTTTTCTTAGGTTATCGCAGCAGGCATGAATCCTATTCAGGTCTCACGTGGGATTGAGAATACTGCAAAAGCCCTTGTTGCAGAACTTAAGTTGATGTCCAGAGAGGTAGGTTGCAGAATGAAGCTTCTTTATATGTTTGAGGGTAAATTCTGTTGGGGAGCTTCTTACATCATTGGTTCCAATTGGATTGTTGGGTTAATTCTGTTAATGGGGTTATGGGAATACCAATTTGCAAAGACGTAATTTATGCCACCAGAACTCCTGATGCGTGTTGTTTTGCGTCAATAGGATCTTAGAAAGCTGTCGTTTAACCAATTATCTCATGTACCTTGGCAATCATTTAGCTGCCAGGTCATCCCTGATATAGGAACCAGCAATATAATATTAGAAACTTTTGGTTCCATGCCAGCTATCCTTGATAGAAACTAAATGAGATGTTGACTGGATACAGACCTAACCTTTGTCTTTTTTATCATAATTTTTTTTGGCACAAAGTGGCTGCTCTTGCACTTGAACCTTTGTTCTCAAGTTTGTCAACCTGAGATTTTACCATTGCACTAAGCAATGGCCCCCTTCTATTCCTATCAAAACGAAAGTAAAATAAAGCAGACAGAACTATAAGGAATAAGAAATTAAGAATATAGTTTAAATTCAGAATAAAAGAAAATATGCCTTTTGACTTGGACAACTTTTATATTATCTCATGCTGGCTGAAGTTAGACTGCCAAAGGTTCTACACCATGCAGGTTGAAGATCATGAACTTGCAAATGTTGCTGCAGTTAGTGCTGGAAATGATTACGTGGTAGGAAACATGATTGCAGATGCTCTCCAACAAGTAGGGAAGAAGGGTGTGGTCACCATCGAGAAAGGGAGATGCACCGAGAACAGTCTGCAGATTGTAGAAGGAATGCAATTTGATCGTGGATACTTGTCTCCTTACTTTGTCACTGACAGGCAAAAGATGTCAGTAGAGTTCCACAACTGCAAGGTAGGACCCTGAATATTGTTATGTTCTATGCTGTCATCCTATTAAGAAATTAGAAAAATGGATTTTTTTTTCTTGCAGTTGCTTTTGGTTGACAAAAAAATCATAAACCCAAAGGAGCTGTTTAGGATATTGGATGGTGCAGTCAAGGAGAAGTACCCCATTGTGATAGTAGCAGAGGGCATTGAGCAGGAAGCTCTGGCTCCAATTATTAGAAACAAACTCAGAGGTGTATTGAAGGCAGCTGCTATTAAAGCTCCTGCCTTTGGAGAGCGCAAGAGCCACTACTTAGATGACATTGCAATCCTGACTGGAGGTAGTGAGCTTATTATTAGAATAATAGTGTCCTGAGTGTTCCAGATGATCTCTCGTTTATAATTGCTAGTACCATATAAACTTTGACACAATAAAATGCAAGTGGACATTCATAATTAGAAGAGGCAATAATTGTCATTTTTCTTTTTAATAACTGTATGAGATTATGAATCTTGTATTGTATGTAGGATTTTCCATTGTTTTGCAGGTACTGTAGTCAGAGATGACATGGGGTTAACACTAGAAAGGTCTGGCAAGGAGGTATTAGGGACTGCTTCTAAGGTGGTGATAACCAAAGACTCGACACTGATAGTTACTGATGGGAGTACTCAACCGGCTGTTAACAAAAGGGTTTCTCAGATCCGAGCCCTTGTTGAGGTCTGTACTCTTCCTTTTAGTGCTGATGCATGTTTCTTTTCTCCTCCATCAGTTTCAAAAGCACTATATACAAATGTCACAAACTACATTTCAAATTGGTATTTTATTTCTCTGTTCCAAGTGTAGTTCTTTGATTGGAGCAGAGCTTTTTATGTCATATGCAGGATTGAAATTCTGTTGTTTTCTTGAACTCTGTTTATCTTTCTACTACATCATAATACTTATTAAACATCTCCTACTCTCCCTCTCTGTCTCTTCCGTTTTCCATATTCTCTACTGTATCATGGTTTGAACCATTTTCTTTCCTTTTTCCAACTCTCTTTATGATATACTGAATTTCTGATCCTTGCAGAATACAGAGGGAAATTTTCAAAAGAAAATACTGAATGAACGAATAGCAAGGTTATGTGGTGGAATTGCTATTATTCAGGTATCCTATTTGATAAAAGAATCTTCAGAAGTTGGCGTTTTGAAAATTTGGAATCTCCAATGTTTCAATGCCTTTCGAATCTGCTATGTTTTACTGTATGCCCTGATGACAGGTTGGAGCACAGACAGAAGTTGAATTGAAGGACAAACAACTGAGAATTGAAGATGCATTGAATGCAACAAAGGTAACAGATTCTCATCTACTCATGCTTTTAGTGAATTTTCAAGTGATTTATTGCACTTCTCTAAACAATTAACTTTCAGGCAGTTTTTTTCCCCTGATTGGAAATGGTAAACTTTCAGGCAGCTATTGAGGAAGGTATTGTGGTTGGTGGTGGCTGTAGCCTGTTGAGGCTATCTCTGAAGGTGGAAAATATCAAAGACACGTTGGAAAATGAAGAGCAGAAGGCATTATACCTTTTCCTCTCCTTTAGATTTAGATATAACAATTGATCCTGTGGTAAAACTAATAATTCAATTCAGTTTTAGAGTGTTGGTTGTCTATTGTGTATTATGTTCTTGTTATCTAATTTTAAATTATAAATGTGGTAGCATTATTTGAGTCTTGATGTACATAAGACTAGGATATCCTATTCTAAATCACAAAACAGATCACTATTACAATTTACTGCCCAACAACACTGTCATGACAACAGCTAGTTGTAAATGCATTGTTTTCTTGTATTATTCCATCTGAACTGAGACACTGTACTCCTATAGAACTCAAATGTTATACATTATGCTATGTATATTTTCTTCCATATCATACATACTCTTCATACAGTCTTGTTGATTTTTTTTTTGTTTTGCTTAAATATTTTACATTTTATAGTTACTTCTTTATTTTTTTTGTTTTTTATTACTGTATTTGACTATGGGGCCAATGATATGAAGATTGTGTTATTACATATAGAAATTCTTTTTATTTTTGGGTGCAGATTGGAGCTGATATCTTTAAAAGAGCCTTAAGCTATCCATTAAGATTGATAGCCAAAAATGCAGGTGGAAACGGAAGTGTTGTTGTAGAGAAGGTCTGCATATAATTCCTTTTTGGAATACTTGAATGCGATTACTTTTTTACTGTTTTTTTCTCAACTTGTTTTCTCTTTTTATTTTGATTTTTGAATTTTATAAGAGCAATTATGTTGACATTTAACAAGATGTACTATTATAAACTATTTTGGTTTGCCAGGTCCTGTCTATTGATGATGTGCGGTATGGATACAATGCAGCAAAGGACTGTTATGAAGATCTAATTGCTGCTGGAATTATTGATCCAACAAAGGTATACTTCAATAGATCTTATAGAAATGTAATAATTATTCATTTATTTCTAATAGAAAAGTTCTTTTACACCCTCATAATTCATAAAATGTAGAGACAAGCAGTATTGCTAATGCAATGAAGCAATAACTAATCTCCTCCTAATCTCTTCAGCCACCTATGCGATGCCACATCCAAACTAGTGCCTAGATGTTGATAACATTGGAGACAAGTATTTAAATAAATATTGAAATACATTAGATTAGAACTGTATAAATGGTATAAAAAGTTTTCAGGTTGATGGTTAAGTCCATCTTATGTCTCCAAACTATGTTAGTATCTTATTAATAATAAAGAAAAACTATGTTAGTAACTTGATATATAGGTGTTTGATGATGGTTGACATAGTGTGCATATGGATGCATTCTATTTGTTCAAAGACCAATTCTAGTGGTTTTCTATTAAGCTGGACATAGATGGTATATCATACATGATTCTCCATTCCTAATTGATCCAGGTGGTAAGGTGTTGCTTGGAACATGCTGCATCTGTTGCTAAGGTTTTTTTGACATCTGATGTGGTCATTGTTGACATCAAGGAATTAGAGCCTGTTCCAATGAGAAAACCAATTCCAAGCTCAGGTACTTTCTCTTAATATTATACATAATTTATATTTATTCCCAAACACAACCATTTCTTTGTTTCTGTTTTTATTCTTATCCTCATGAGAAGGTCTTGTTGAAATTTTAAATTTTCAGCAGTAACACAAATTGGCAGTTTTTTTGTTCCTCTTTCTGCTCCTCGCATCATTTCCAGTGTCTTCCCCTGTTCAGCAGTCTATCAACAGTTGGGCACTTCTCTAGAGTTGCAGTTCACACCAGGAACTTCACTTTAGATGGAGATTGGATCTGCTCCCTGCACCTACTGACAGGACACTACAGCCACACATCGGGAACTTCTCCCATAGTTGTATGTTGTCATTCATGGGAGATGTTCCAATGCACATCTGTAGTGTCCCATGGTGCAGCTGGGCTCCAGATTGTGTGGCTAGGGAAGTTAATATTAGGATTATAGTCCAGTTTCTTGAAGAAGAATTTGACAGGAAAAAAAAACCGACTCATCCCACTCCCAGCACCTTTTATCTGCCTGCCCCACTTGTGGTGTTAAAGTGTGAATTCTTCAGAGCAGTTTTGCTGCTTGTTCTTTTTTCCTGACTTTCCTGTTATGACTCATGAAGTTCCTAGCAAGCTTTACAAAGTAATTATATTCTGATTTAAATAAAAATGAATTTTTAATAATAATCTTCACATCTTTCTAGTACTCTTTGCGTATCTTAAAGTTATGGATATACACGCCTCTGGCTTCTATTATGGTATGAAGAAACATCCAGGAACACAATTAATTTGACAGAATTGATACCCCAAGTTAAAAACCAGATATCACTGTATTGTCTTGACAATAACTAATCCAGTATGTCTTGTATCATGTAGGTGTAGGACCTGTCGGTTTGAAGTCTGGAGTCTTTTAGATGAGTTGGACTGTCAAAAGTTCAAATTCTCTGCTTCTTTGCTTTCAAATGAAAAAGACTAGTTCCCTGGCAGTGGAGATGATCCAAGAGAAGGGATTGAAAAGGATGATCTTCTGCACTGGTGGATTCTGGTTATCAATTAAAAATGCAGTCTAGAGATCAGATGAAGTTGCTTTCATGCACTTCTTCTCCCTGAATATGTACTGGGGAAAAAGGGTTGATGCAAGAGCTGGAAGCTCAAAACCACCTAGTTTTCAGCCTCAATTTTGGAAGGAAATGCTGCTGTGACCTGGTGAAGCTGGAGGAGGAAAGCCAGAAAAGAATGCCACTTAAGGAGATTGCCACCATCTTAAAATATGTACAAAATAATGAATTCATGTTATGGATCAATAATGAAAATCTTGGTTTTTTTTCCTGGTTTTAGTTTTAATCTTAACCCACTTTAGAGATTAATATTTGCTTGTGGCTGTTTTTTGAGGGGAGGAGTGTCAATTTGGTATCAAAATATTGCCGTCTTTTTTTTATTGATAACATCAACGATCTTTTGGTGGGTGTTAATTTTTAGCAGAATAAATCAACCTTAACCGGCTTTCAGGAGGTCGTAGGTTCAAATCTGTGGTCTTCCCACTTTCTGATACTGTGCCATGGTAAGGTTGCTTAGCCTAAACGTTATCACGGTTTCCTTGATGTTCTCTTGAAAAAAACTAAATCCTTAATTACCCACTTTCCAACAAGTACAAAGGAAAATATAAAAAAAACACAAAATAAGTGGTTGAGGGAAAGGGAGAACATCGAAAGAAAAAACATCCCCATATATAACATTACATGTATAATATCGTTGGAGGGAGATTCAAATTTACAAGAATCTCTCTTTTCCTTTTCTTGTGTTTTGTTCCTTCCTCTTTCCACCATTGAATGACTCTTTGTCCCACTTTGCTTGGGAAAGGAGTGGAAGTGGAATATATTTATAGTTTTGCTTAAATTGAATCTTTTCAATTCCATGTATGTGAGGTTTATAGATATTCCATGTATGTGAATAGACGTGGGTAGAGTTCTTGTGGGCAGGTGATCCAAAGTCTCGAATAAATGCATCATAAGGGACAAATACGGTTTTAAAGAAAGTGACCAAGTGGCACGACTCAGCCCTCTATCTTCTTACAATTCCTAGTTTCAAGTTCTTATAACACCTTCACAAATTGTAACTTTGGTTTGGAAAGCGATTATCAATAAATTTCATGTTCTCTCTTTACAATTTTTACAACAAATATTTTATTTTTTATTTATATATTTGTATGTATATATTATTTTATATCTATAATATATATAGAAGAAGCACATGAGCCTCGGTTTAGATCGAAGTATCAAACTGAATTGAACTTTTCAGAGAACTCTAAAAACTCGTAAAAAACTTGATTCGTGAAAAGCTTGAAGTCGAATAACTAGAATTGAGCTTTTCACATTTTTTTTAAGCCTTAAAAGGCGAAATTCGTTCATAAACTAAATGCTCAGATTTACAATCTATGAAGCATTTTCACATGCTATGATATCATGTTTGTAGTCTGTATCATATGAAACGGTTTTGGATATCTCTCGCTCTTTTTTTTCTGTTTGTTCTCTCGTTTCTTTGACAGAAATTCTCTTAAAACTCCCCTAGGCCCTAATTCTCTGATCCATTGAGCAAAAATCGATTAGAAAAACAAAAGAACGTTAAACTCTTTACTGAAGTTTTGAATAAACAAGACATTATCATTCATTTATTCATCATCAGTTTTTTTTTTTTTTTTCGTCGAGGAAAATAAGTTCACTGGATAATAAGAACTTCTACAAGGGCTAGGATGAATCAATAAAACAATTTTGCTTCTTCTCTTCGTTTCCTGTAACTCGGCAATTTTGGAAGGTGTTGCCTGTTTTCACAAGTGGAGAAGCGACAGACAGTCAGAGAATCCCAGTTAGAGTTTCCCCCCTTTTTTAACCAGGAAGCCAATCTAAGGTGAACACGAGTGAAAAATGATGGGAATTCCTCTACAGTTCCTAATGGATATGGTGTTATCGGGGTTTCTTTGATTATTGGTTTGGGAATCTTCTCATTGGTTGCCTTCATTCTCTGCTCTGTTGCTTTCCTACAGAATGCTATGGGCGTCTCTTAACTTGGAGGAGGTATTTCTTACGCATTTCTGTAAAACCTGAGTCAAACTCAAAGCTGTTGTTAATTTGCCGGGAAAGATTAGCAGTGGTTCTGCTCCGGACGAATAGTAAGACCAGTCGGACAAGGCCGAGAGAGAATCATGAAAATGGTTCACTCCACAATGAGGCGGTTTGGGTTTGAAGATCGGGTCGAACCAGATCCCATCCCGACGGTTTGAAAACCCTAAACCCTGCTCTGTAGCTGGTAAAAGCATAATTTCCAAAGGAAGTTCGAGACAAAACTTCTAGACAAATCAAGCAAAGAAGAGAAATCTGAAAGTCGTTGACAAGGAAGAAAGAGAGGATCGACTCCTGTTCTGGGCTTTCGGATTATTCTGTTTTTAAGTTGAGGGTGAATTTTTGAGATTTCCAGTATATTATATCGCTCTGGTCAGGTAGCTCTAAGCTTCTAACTTCTTCTTTATTCTTATCTGGTTTGTAAAATAGTCTTGGGTAGCTTATGAAACTGGAGTCTGGAGGCATGTCTTCTGGTTAGAGAATGTGAAATGATCCTATAAATTTTCCTTGTCCTGGGCTTTATTTGGTTCAAGTTGGCGTGCATGATCGAAGGCAGCAGTAACTTTGGTTTCTTCTCTTGCCATTTGATTGTTGTAGTTGTACAACAATGGCCATGGCCATAACCTCTTGCAGTCTTGCTAATGTAAATATTCTTGCATTTCTTAGTGAATAGCAGTCTTTGTGGAAGATTGACGGTTTACAGAGCAAGTTCTATAAATTTTCCATCAGAACTCCGAAGTTATAGAACAGGTAACTTTGAAATAGGTTGAGAAATTCAACTAAACGGAGAGAGAGAGAGAGATTTCAATTGCAGAGAATATACTGGATCGTAAGCTTCCAATAAACCAGCTGGTCGATCTACCGTAACCAGCTGGTCGATCTACCGTATGGAATAGAATACAATAGATATGTAGAATCTTAATACCGAAAATGCCCTTATAAAAATTCATTTTGCTCCCCCTCTCTCATTTGCTCTCTCTTCTCCGTGGTTTTCTCTCTGCGTCGCTAAACCCTCCAATCCCCCCCTCTCTCTCGCCAATCCCACTCGCTCTACATCTGTCAGAGACATTCTATCGCTCTATCTCTCTCCCATTGGGTTGTAAGCTGAAATCTTTATCTTGTAATTGTTTTGACAGCCATAGCTAATGGGTTTCGTGCTTAAAGCTCCAACAAACTTTCTGCGACAGGAAAACCTTGTATCTTTCTCCAGAAGCTCTAGGAGGAACTGTCTTACTCTTAGAAAGCAGAGACTAACAGTTTCAATGTCATCCGTGGCCAATACAGCAACTTCGATAGTCAAGCCAGAAACTGAGAAAAATCTTGGGTTTCCAATTATGGTACTGATGCATTAACATTTGTTGTCTCTACTATTACCTTTATGCTTGCTCGTAGGGCATTTCTGGGCATTAGGATAATTTCATTTCGATTTGTATTTTCAATGATGTACTTGTATGATCAAATGCCTCCGTGTGGCTATCAAATGCCTCCTAATTATTGTCTTCCTTTTTTCTTCTAAGAATTTCATTAGGCCTTTTATGTTTATTTATTTTATTTTATTTTTTCAGACGTTTCTACAATGCTAGGAACAAATGCAAAAGTTGTTTTCTTTTTTACCCTTTCTCCAGATTTTGGTAGAACATAAATGTTTTTTTCCCGGCTTATTTTACATAACTTTTTTTATTTCATTATTCTATATAATTAAACCTATTGTTAACATTCCAGCATGACCGCTGCTGTCTAGAAATATTTTTTTTGAACTTTATATTTGTGATAAAAATTCAGAAAATTTGAAGCTCTTTTTTTATTCTCTAATAAATATAACATGAGATGAAAAGGTTATAGCTTTTTTCTTTTTGCATTTTATAACAACCTCTTGTTATTGTACATTTTTTATTGAACTTTATGTATCGTTTTGTGGCAGAGGACTATCATATGTGTATGCATGTATGATTATTAGTTGTGTTTGTCTAGGTTAAATCGGGTTAATAATAGTTGACTAGGAAGTCTGACATTATTGTTCATATCATTAAAGTCATGTCTTTATATTCTTTTTCCTGATTGATGACCCAGAGGAGTCTTTACTGTTGTTTGTTCCTTTTCCAGGGGATCATGCTACTTTAATTTTTTCCTTTTTGGGTTTCAATGAAAAGAACCACTTAATATTTATTAAATCTTATTAACTTTCTATAGTAGAACATCCCAATCTTTGTTTGATATCTATGTTGTTGGGAAAAACAATGTTAAAGCAAACCATATCTTGTCAAGAATAAACATTGCTATATTCCCTTGCTGCATGTGGAATTGTAAATTAGCCTCATACTCTTTGGTGTAATTTTGTAGGTGAATGGCTGCACTGGAAAAATGGGAAAGGCAATTATACAAGCAGCAGTTTCAGCAGGACTTGAGTTAGTTCCTGCATCATTTAGCAGTCCAGAGGAAGCTGGTCAAGTTGTGCAAGCAGGTGGGAAAGAGATTCAGATATATGGTCCTCCTGAAAGAGAAGGTGTTCTTGCATCACTCTTTGATGAACACCCAAATCTGATTGCCGTGGACTTTACTGTGCCTGCTGCAGTGAATGGTAAGTTTTTATGTTTCTTTCTTCTAGAAACTTGTTTACTATGAATATGTTCCTTGTACTGGTGTCAAAACAATATAGCACTGATCAGCACTAGATATTGCATAGGTTTCCTAGAAAACTTCTTTTGACAGATAACAATGAGAATATACAGAGGAAAGAAGATAATATCAAGGTTATTGGTTTATTATTTTCATTAACTTTCTCTTGGCAATTTAGCTCCTAGCTATCCATATACATATATGCTTTGTCAAGATAATTAGATAAATAGGGATAAAATTTGACAAGCTCCTAATGATTTGAACCTCCATTGAACATGAAGGGATATGAGTATAAAAGATAAACAGCCTAAAGAGCTAAAATAATGGTGCCAACCTATTAGATAGGATTCTTGTATCCATTATCAGTGGCTTGGATATTTGAGAAATGAAGAATAATATCTTTTATGTTTAATCTTCTTATTGGTATCTGTATCCAGGCATCATAGCTGCTTTAGTAAATAACAAAAGAAGGAAAAAAAGAGATGCATAGACACTATGTTTACTTGTGGCTGATAGATCATGTAGGACCTCCACGATGAGATGGGATGCATTTAGATACAAACATTACAGCATAATTGCATGAAACTAAAACACATGCGTACTATCAGAAATTGGTAGATTCCATGAGTGGAAACTTATACAAAAGAGTTGTCATTAATGTTTTCTGATGTCTAATGTAACTTGTGACCGGTGCATGTCCAAACCTTGGTAATCTCAGAACTCAGAAGCTGGAGCTTGTTGCAAGTATTTATTGTAAATTCTGTTATTATAATTATGGTCCGATCTATACCTCGAATGTTATAAGGTATGGAAACAGTCAACAAAGCTCATAACCATGCATGTATACATCCAGGGTGTGTACCTCATCCTTCAGTGGTTTTCACCAAGGAGCCAGAGATTTCCTAGGCAAACTAACACAATGATTGATGTTATCTGACTAGAGTCAATGACCCCCATGGTTTCACCATAATTTTGTTGCCTATCCAAGAGAATGTGATGGCTAGGAGGCTATCTGTAAATTATTGAATGGTAGCCATGGCCAATTGATCAGGAAAAAAGGGGAAAGAAAATGTAGTAGTGAATCTACTTGGGTCAAGCTGTTTTTGAATATTCTGTAACTTAGCTATTTGAAGAAAAAAAAAGCTATTTGATGTTATTTTTAAATTTTACTGTTTTTCCTTTTCTTTTTCCCTCTCTTTGAAGTAGGACAGAATTCATTTTGCTGAGATCAAATAGTTTGGATTAAGGCTGAGTTGAGTTGAGATCTTTTTTTTTTTTTTTTTGATTGCAGGCAATGCAGAGCTATACTGCAAAGTTGGTGTACCTTTTGTAATGGGAACTACAGGTGGGGATAGGGAAAGACTGTATAAGACTGTGGAAGACTCAAATGTTTATGCTGTAATCTCTCCACAGATGGGAAAACAGGTTTTTATATTCCTTTTTACATCTTTTTGTTTTTAGTATAGTTGGGAATGTTTTATAGCTAGATTGTTCCTATTTCCAATAAAATCCATTGTGGTCGGTTTTTTCCTAGGTTGTTGCATTTCTTGCTGCTATGGAGATTATGGCCGAACAATTTCCTGGAGCCTTTTCAGGTTATTCTTTACAAGTATGGTCTTCTCTTTCTGGATTAATATATACCTTCTGGTGTTTGATTTTATACATGGATTTTCAAAAGCGTTCCTGATTAAAACTATTAAATCATGTTACCATGATGTTGTCCATGATGAACACACAGAATCCTGCCAGGAATCTATTAAAAAGGATCTGCTGAGAAGTTATATACCAAGAATATTGAGAATGTAAAGAGGCTTCATAATCTGCTAAGAGACTCCACCCATGTTGCTGTGGTTCTTGAGAGGCCTAGTTGAATTGTTGGAGATGTATGCAGCAGGAGAAGATATTTGTATGGTGCATGAGGAGAGGAATGGTGGAGAAGAAAATTAGAAATGTAGAGCAGAAGAATAGGGAAGTCAAACCTGATTACATTATTAGGAATTGGAGTAGCTTTGGGGGGGGGGGGAGGGTAGGAGGTATAGGAGTTGTCCCTTTCATGAGCCCCATTAGAGGGGGGAACATGAAGAGGGGGCTTAGTGAGGTAGTGGGCAGAATTTGGATCAAGATTCCCCTCACCCTGAAGAGGAGGCTCAAATAAAAGAGACCTCGATCATTAATTAATAAGCAACTGCCTACAGAAGTTGTATTGCGAAGATTGGCCTAGGTCACTAAATGTTCAGGGTCTTTTTATGGGAGGGGAAAATTTACAATGTCTATGTTTAGAACTTCAACTATGAAGATTTTGTTTGGTGACGAGTTTTTTATGACATGATAAAATAAGGAGGCTACATTAACTAGATTTGCCAAGGATGGAGGTAGACAGTGTCTGACATAAAATTTAGATAAAGGATTGAAGTTTCTGATACAATAACAAACCTTTATACAAGTATCAAAGTATCATAGTACTGAATCCTAGCATAGAAAAAATGGAACCCAGTACAGCCTGAGCTAGTAAAATAATTGAAAAGTAAGGTTACTGATAGGTACTGGGCTTTCTTTTTGTGGTGGTAGTATGGGACCTTTGTATGTAAATAGGATTTGGAGCATCTATTGTTGTTGTTATTGTTATTATGATGATGATAAGTCGCTGATGCTCCTCTCTCTCTCTCTCTAATTATGTGTGTGTTAATTGGGTGTTTATACTTTATTGGGTGCTTTCAGAATGGGATTGGGAGGAAATGGTTCTCCTGGATTATGTTATGCCACCTCTACACATTTTTCTATCTTAATAAGTTGCCTAAAGGTTAAGGCAGTTTGTGGTTTTCAGCCAGAAGATCCTTTGTCCCCCATGTGATTCATCATAGTTAGCCCCCAACTATGTCTATGGGTGAATGTGAACTAATTCACTTGGCTTGTTCTCTTTGTTCTACTACTTATCAGAAAGTGTAATCAACCCCAAAGATGGTTGTGTTCAATTGTGATTGTTTCGAAATATTGATGGTCATCTTTCACATAATTCTTAAGGTAATGGAGTCTCATCAAGCAAGCAAGTTGGACACGTCTGGAACAGCCAAGGCTGTCATCTCCTGCTTCCAGAAACTTGGTGTCTCTTTTGATTTGGATCAGGTATTTCTACCATTCCCTTTATAGTCTACTACTGTCTCAAAGTGAAAAACTTAATGCTCAACCGTCAACTTGGAAAACTTGACCTGGTTTTGGGTTGTTATTAAGTGATGTAACATGATAAATTGCTTATGTTTTCTCTAATTTGGTCTAGTAGGACTTTATAATTGAGGTATCTTTTTCCATATGTGCAGTAGGTTCCATTATTGTTCTTTATGCTTTATATTCTTATGTCTTATTGACAGATACAACAAATTCGGGATCCTAAACAACAAATTGAGTTGGTAGGGGTCCCAGAGGAATACCTATCTGGCCATGCATTCCATATGTATCACCTTACATCACCTGACCAGACGTAATCTTACTGTCCCATGTATATTTGTTGTAATCTTGGAACCCGATGTATTTCTGTACCTAAAATCTAATAAGCACTAAATGCTTTGTTTCTGCAGAGTTTCTTTTGAGTTTCAGCATAATGTCTGTGGGAGATCAATATATGCTGAGGGCACTGTTGATGCTGCCATTTTCCTAGCCAAGAAGGTCCCAAATACTTTCCTTCTCTTCTAGGTTACTCCATGCTTTTTATTTTCTTGTGATATAAATTGATCATAAGAGTTTCTAATAATGCAGGTTCGAACCAAGGCTGACAAGAGAATCTACAATATGATTGATGTGTTACAGGAAGGAAATATGCGATGATAGGTGGTTTTGATTTTTGAAGGTCTAATATAACTTCTAGTTGCTGTCATCATTGTTTGAACTTAAAGACATGATTGAAAATTCAAAGATGGAGGGCGGATGATGAACTTGCTTTATGGAATTTTATGGCAAATTAAACTGAGTATTTTCCTCTTTCTTTCAATTGGCCAGGCATTGGTGCGGTGGTAAAATCTTCAGTGCATAAGAATGCGGGTTCCGGCTGGCCATTCATGCAAAAAACTGCAGGGGGGGGGTAATTAGACCAGGATGCTGTGTACTGCTTCGAGTATGCATTTGCACATCACTTTTCTATCACAAACAGTCCAGAACAAATAACCCAATTTTGTTACTTCTTGGTAAAAAGAGCTTTCTAATGAGTTTTCTATCTTGTGCTTGTGTAGATTTTGCATTTACCAACCTAGGGTTGTCTCATTGGTGTGTTAGCTTGTTTGTTCCAGCGTTGACGTGGAATCAAATCTTGCAACGAGCACTTTGGGAAAAACCGAAAAATGGGTCAGGGGAAAGTTAATGATGAATTGCATTTAATTATGTACAACATATAGACCTGTAAAGTGGGCTGGGCTGCCCGCGGGAAGACACAGCCCAGCATGACTCAGGCCGTGCCAAACCCTGTGCTGTTCCGGGCTGGTCGGGGTTTTGCCGTTTTGATGCTTGTTTTCAATTTTATTATATTAATTTATTTTAATATTGTTGTAATTTTTTACAATTTTATTTTTATTTCATTTGAAGTGTTTTTTTTTCAATTTCCTGTCTATCTTGTTAATTTATCTTCTTCTTTTTTCATTATTTTTTAGTTTTTCTAAAAAAATTGTGCTGCCCACTAGTGAGCATCCCGCAAAAATGGATATTGCTGGTACAACATATTTTCACCTGCTGTATTCAAAATTTATTTGCCATTATAACTCCCAATGTCCCCACTGTGCATTCTTTGATCAACTATTGCAGATGCTAACGTGGATCTCATGTACTAGCATTGGAACCCTGTATCTGTAGTGCCCAGACTTTCAGGTATCTTTCTGGCTGACCAGCTTGAATCGATAACTGTTTTGTGTTTGGTATCGTATTCTGGGAGCCCATGAATGGTTGGTTCATTTTATTTGATTATAGAGTCTAGACATTCAATCATGCTTTTTTTTTTTAATCTCTTTTGAAGAAGGGAATTGGGAAAAGAGACAGCCATCAAGATTGATAAGATCAAGGCTAAATTTGTTAAGAAAAATTCATAATCCCTTGCGTCGATTTTGTTTTTTATTTTTTTTTTTGTTTTGGTATTTGATGATATGCACCACACCCATCCCCAAAATCAGTGGTTGAGGGAATCGAATCCACGACTATATCGGATGAACCAACTAACATATCAACTGAGTCACCCCTCTTGGTGCTGAGAGAAATTTAGGTATAGGTCGTGATATATAGGCCTCTTTCCTCGAGGGGAAAGTTGTCAAACTGTTGTGGGATTAAAATGCCTTTGCCAGCATGCATAAATTAGTGCTCTTTTGGGACATATTCCCGGTGAAAGAATAGGGCCCTAGTATTCAAAAATTCTAACACTGGGGAATTGGACGCTATATACAGATTATTTGCCATAAACAATTGAAATGTGCCTTTTGTAAGCAAAATTTCCTATTGCCTATCGCTTACCTGACTTCGGATCTCCTGCCCATGAGAACTCTGCCCACACCTACCCACAATACACTATCCCTTGTGAATTGGGAACATCTCCCCCTGCATAATACTATGCAGAGGATGATATGTTCTTCATGTATGGCTGCAATAAACGTGGGCAGAGTTCTCGTGGGCAGGAGATCCGGACTCCGCTTACCTTACCCTCCCAAGTCCCAACTCGTTTTGGATTGATCTCGATTGATTGATTTTACAAGGAATCTGTTTGGTTTGGTAAAATTCTTAGTTTACAATTTCACATGAAAATTATGGTTAATTGGAAACATAGTGCCTGTTTAGCAAGTATTTTTCAGAAGATATGTTACAAGATCTGATGGTTAAAAGACAGAGTGAGTTTTTGCAAATAGATCTTGGAAGACCAAAGATTGTTTGGTTGAAATATTTTACATAGATATCACAAAAGACCATAAAAGCTAGAAGACCATTTGGTAACGTGAATGTCTTGTGTGTGGGCTAACAAACCTTTCATTTAAGTATTTAACATATGAGACACACATACATTTTCTAAGGTGAGACCCACATACCATTGGTGGACATACATGTGGGGTCTATGTATCGACATGTATGTGGGGCTCATGTACATTTTACAAGGTGGGCCCAACATACCATTGGTGGCCATGCATATGGGGTCCATGTGTGGACATGTATGTGGGGCCCATATACATTTTACAAGGTGGACCTCACATCCCATTGGTGGACATGTATGTGGGGCTTATATACATTTTTAAAAGTGGGTCCCACATACATTTTCCAAGGTGAGCCCCACATACCATTGGTAGGTCCCACTTACACATTCAAATAGTTTTTGTGGAAAGATAACCCATTTTCTTCCAAGTGTGTGCATCGTACAACACGTTTGAAGAAGACGGGGCGCTAAAAGACCGTAAAAGCTTCATTTGAAGCTTCTTGAAAAAGCCTAAATTCGGGCTTCTGGCGTCTTTTATGGGCTGGAGCTTTCCCGAATAGATCTTTCTATTGCCAAACGAGAAAAGTCCAGAATTCAGGCTTTCGACCTTCTAAACAGCCTGAAGCCCACGCGGAAAGACTTGCCATACGCGGCCATATGTATTTAGTGTTGGTATCCAATTATCCATCTATAACTGAGTGATCTAAGGCTTAGTTTGGAAGGAGTACAAATGCAAATATGTACAATGTAAATACATATAAAATAAGGAAAATTACAAAGACCCCCTATACTTTGTTTTGCGACAATGACCCCCTGTACTATGACCATGAGACAAAGACCCCCCTTGACCATTAAGTCAGATGACAAAATGCATTAAATTACCAAAATACCCTACTAAATTTTTTCTATTTTCTTTTTTTTTGCCCTTTTCTCTTAAAACTTATTTAACTTATTATTTTCCATTTCTTTTCTTCTTTTCCCCTCCCTCATCGTCCTCTCTCATTCTCTCTCTCCCAGCTCTCCCAAAACAGAGCCAGAGACTCTCCTCCTGCAGCACTTGCGGAGTCGGAGCCGGCATCACGTCCCGACCTAAACGTGTTCGTCGTGGTTGGACTCGTGGACTACTTACTAACTACCAAAACCATTTACAGAAGATACGTGATTTTGGCGTCATCACGCCCACCGACTACTTACTAACTACCAAACTGTAGATTATGCAGATTTCCTTTCCAAGCTTTTGATTCTCCGATTTGAATCTACATGGAACAAACCTATTTCCTCCCTCCCCACTCTCACTCTACCCTTCCTTGAAATTTCTCTCCCCTTCCCATCTCAGTCCTCTGATTCTTTCCTATATATCCTCACTTCTTCCAACATTCATTGGAATATCGGCCTTATTTACTTGGTTCCTCTTTTCTTCTTTTTTCTATTTATCTCCATCTCATGTCTGTCGGTCGAAGAAGGCCACAWGTGGAAGCAACCGATGCTTTGGTCATTCGGTTGACTCCTTGCTACCAGTCCGTGCTTGCTGTCATGTTGGAAAAAGCAGGGGTTTAGGCCGGTTTTACCTACTACTGGATTTGAACCAATGACTCTCGCCGCATGAAAGCGATACTCTAACTGTTGAGTCAAGTAGGTCAAGCTGAGTCAAGTCAGAGAAAATAGACCTAACAGAGAAAGCCGCACAACTAGAGTTCTCCGTGGGGCGGACTCCCTCTCCCTCTCTGCTCAAATATCTTTGAATCATGAAAGGAGAAAAATGGAGAACAATCAACAGTCGTTTTGGCAATTTAGCGATGAACTAAGGCTACAATCAACAAACTTGGCAAATCTTTCTCTTAACAATTCAATATGGGGGAATTCAATGATCAGCTGAGGCTACAACGATCAGCTGAGTCCATGAGCCGGAGCCGGCGTCACGTCATGGTTGGACTCGTGGACTACATATGCCAAAACCGCCTATCTTCTGTAAATAGTTTCACAGAAGAGAAGCAATGAAGAGATGTATTGTGTTCATTAGTTTCTAGAGGCTCCACAAGGCGTCGGAACGTGTCCCCAACTCAATGGAGAGAGAGATCGGGATTGAATTAAATGGGTTCAATCCCGATGCTGTTAAGGGGAAGGGAAAGAAGAGAGATCGGGGGAAAGAGAGGAGAGAGAGGGAAAGAGAGAAATGTGAAGGAACAGAAGGGTAGTATCGGAAGGTTGGGGAAGATGAACAGTTTTTTCTCCTAGTTATTGCAAGGGTAGTATGGGGATTAAAAAAATATTATAATGGCTTTTTTGGACGGAAAGCTAACGGAAGGGAGTCTTTGTCTCACGATCATAGTACAGGGCGGTCTTTGTCACAAAACAAAGTATAAGGGGGTCTTTGTCACAGACCCCATAATACCGGGGGGGGGGGTCTTTATAATTTACCTACAAAATAATACAAAATATAAGGTTTTGCACTCTACATATTTACATTTGTACTCCTTCCAAACTCAGCCTAAGGTCATTATTGAAGGCTATGCAGCAGCCTTGATTGTTAAAAGAATTTGCCTATCAGAGGAGATTTCCCTGCAACATTATTGCCCTACTTCACCTCTCATCTCTAGTTCCAACTCAATGAATTTTTGTCTCGATTTTTACAGGTGCAAATTCCCCATGCTTAGAGACAAGTAACGGCATGAAATGGAGGGTTAGGATGTATTGGACATAACAGCTGTGCAATGGGAATATATCCCTTGCCATTTATGGGAGATGTTCGTGGTGGTATTCTGTGAAAACAATTTGTGGTAGCAGATCTGAGATCTAATCCTGTTTCTTGTTGATAATTGGTAGGATTGGATCTTCACACAAGATTAGATTCAGTTAATGTAATATAATCCCATCATACATGTATTTCCTTCAGGGTCCAATGGACCTGGTATAGATACGAAGATATCTAGCTAAGGTCCAAATCCTTTTATTCCATCTAGATGGATATGGATTGTTTGGATCAGCTCCCGATCTGATCCGGAGCAATCAAATAGCTCAATGTCTCGTAAAGAAAGTTTAGGCCTCGTTTGAGAGCGATTATGACATATTTTTTGTTGGTAAAAAGGGAAAGGGAGGGCTGCTTCGGAGAAGCTACTAAAAATGACTTTACACAGAAAATTGTTCTCATAAATGTATTTTTGGCTTTTTGAAAAATTTTTCACCAAATAAGACTTTACGATTTTCTGTGTGAGGCTTACCTTACAACACCAGACCAGATCCACTATGGCGGTGTTTGGAACCGTGCCGTTGTTCCAGAAAATGGTGATATATTAGCGCCACATTGGAAAAATCGGTGTTCCAGGAAATGTCAATATGTTTGGAACCAATTTTCCATAAAAAAGGTGCTCTAAGCCATGCCTTGGAAATCAAGAAGGCATGGTTTAGAGCAACACTGAATTCGACATTTTCTCAGATTGGAGCTTGTTGCTGCCAGCGAGGATATGATGTGGTGGTGATGTGGACTCCCTATAATGGGTATCAGTGCTGAAAACATATATGAAGCATTGGTACCAAACAGAAGGTGTTTTTGTTGCTCCATGAAACTTCCT